TTAAACTTGTCAGGTGTGTTGTCTACTGGCATGTAAGGACAAGTGATGATCTGGTAAACATTCCAAGAGAGAAAACGTACAAAATGCCATTGGTCAGTAACAATGCAGGAAGTAGCAATCGGGTTACTGATGAGCATGGTGTATGGTTGTGTAACACATGTGAATTTCATGCTGGTTTCTAAAGTTCATGACTAGATTTAGGTTTCATCTTTATCCCAACCAATATATCCCCTAATGAAACGAATATGTCAAAGGGAGAATTGCTAAAACATAAGCATTGCAGGATTGTTCGTTCTCAATTTCTTAATGTTCTAAAATTGTTTGGGCCCCCGTGGTGAGGGTGTTTGGGGTGGCCAATAGCGTGGCCAGGATTCAGCTGGGGGTGGCCGTGGCCAACCCCCAGCTCCGCCACTGCTCTCGCGCCCCCCCCCTGTCATGCCTCTGGGCCTCCCAGGGGGGGCACGCCCCCCACTTTGAGAACCACTGGTCTAAATTAACCTGTAGCTGCTCCGTCCACACTCACAACAACGTCATACAGACATAAATAAAGCAGTGACTGTATTCGCCATGACACAGACAGTCTGTGTTTTGTATATGTTTAACTTTTGTCCAGTTTCTGAACAGATATGAGGAGCAGTGAGCTTTGAGTGTGTGCTAACAGCTAACGGCTGATGTGTTGGGTGCTGACCAATCACGAAGCGTAATTTCTTGACTGGCAGCAAAAACAACCAATCACAGCAGTGCTTCTCTGGCTGGCTCTGTCCAATCACAAACAATAAGTGTTCTCCCTAAAGGAATACCCTTTCCGTCCAATGTGAAATGCTGTAGTGTTTTGTGAAATACTGTGGCGTTTTGTGAAATGCTGTGAAATTTTTTGAAATGCTGTTGTGTTTCCTGAAATGCTGTTGTGTTTCCTGAAATGCTGTTGTGTTTTGTGCTACTGTTGGTTCAATTTTTTTGTTCAGGCAACTCTAAATAAGCAATTTTTCAACCCGTTTGAATGTAAATAATTCCAGGTGTTTTTCAAAAATCATCCTTTTATAGAAAAAATAATCAGTTTGGGAACACTAGCAGACTTTCGTGCATTAAGATAGTATTTAGTAATTGCTTGCATTTCCGTTTCTTTGAAATTTCATATGAGGGAAGACATGGCAACTCTAAATCAGAAAAAAATCTACCACACAAACATACAAGTCCCTGTCCAAAAGCTGCCTCAAAAGGTTTAACAAACACTAGGAAAAGAAAGTTTTTCTGTCCCCCTCACCGTCAGCATCCATGTAAATCCTCTTTATGAACCTAACAGAAACATGTTACGCACAATGACTGATGGCAAGAGGAAGCAGGCAGCTGAAATGTATTCACTGTTCAAACATTCACACTGTCAACAGAATGTTTGAAACACTTCCTGAAACACAGCTGGTTCAATTATGATTATGTTGAGGATGAGGTCACGTAACTCAGGCTTAGTAAGATAAGCAAACTAACCTACGAGGTTCAATTCATGTCATATTAAAGGGGCCCCATTCTGCTAAGAACTTGAACCAACAGCAGCATTGGATGTTTGAAAAAAAATGAGGCAGAATGGTATTAAAGGGGCCCTGTTATGCTCATGTTCAGCTTCATTTCAGTATTTAGTGTCTCTACTGTGACATGTCTCCATGTTTAATGTTCAAAAAGCTCTTTATTTGTCTCATACTGCCTGTGCTGCAGCACCTCTTTTCACCCTCTGTCTGAAACCAGAGGGAACACAGGGATTTTAGTCTTTGCAGACCATTTACATGCACTAAAACGTATAAAACAAACTACAAGAAACACCCAACAAACCATAATAGGGCCCCTTTAAAAACCACTGTCCAGTTTTTTTTCCGTGACATGCACTTAAATATAATAAAGTAATGTAGTTTATAATAGCCTTTGTTACATATATGGATGAAAGATGACATTTATTGGATGTTTATAAATCAGCTTCCTGAACAACAAAGTCAAGTGCTGCAGTGATTATTTGTGACGACAACATTTTTTTATAAAACTTTAATAACTTGCATCATTGCACTGATAGCTGCTCTTAAAGGCTTTGAGAATGAAAGCTACTGCTACAATGGTAACAGGAAGTTTAGACACATGACCCCAATACAGGTCCTGGCTAATTATCAATGAAACTGATAATGAGGAAAGACAGCAAGTGGCTACCTCCTAAGTTAATGTGTTTCTATTCTGTACATTATGTACTTCATGTAATTCAGTTTTTGCAGTTGTTACAGACACTCCGTGCACACTGCTCTGTAATATGAGTGCTATCTGACAGCCCAATCTGGGCAGCCTATAGATATTCAACCAACTTCCCTTTTGCAACTTTCCCCTCTCTCTCTTTCTGCCTGTGTGTGTGTGTGTGTTTGTGTTGACTTTCCCCTCTCTCTCTTTCTGTGTGTGTGTTGAAGAGAGCAAGGTGAGACTACACAAAGGAGTGATTGAGCGAGTGAGTCAGTCGCAGGGAGCTGTTAGAGGGAGGGAGTGTTAACTTAAAGCTGGCAACAAAACACTGAAGAGGGTCTGCATTTAGAAAAGTCCTGCTGACCAGATAACTGTAACTCATGGATCTTTGAGGACTTAAAAGAAAGAAATTGGATACATAGGCAAAAGAAAAAAAGTAGGGGAAGGGCCAGAATATAAACATTCAAAAGGACACCAGAGGAAAAGAAGAGGAGGGAACAGCCACTCTGTGAACACAACCCTGAACACAGTGAGTAGGTTTGGTTGTATTTCGGGTTCTAAATACAAGCATAGCCTGGGGTTAGAACTCATATGTGGAATTTACAGTTAAAACTACACTTAACCTGCCTGTTGTCCTCGGCCATTGCCACATTCATGGTTCTATACGACTTTCCTACCAAGAATTGTGTGTTTGGTTTACATTTATAGCATCTTGTGTTATTCTGTGCAGCTATTTAAAATGTTAAATGGTTTCAAACTAAATCCTAACTTTGACATTTTGTGATAGACACATGTTTCTCTAATCTTAACTGTAGTCAAAATAATTCAAAAATATTTGCATTCTTTTAACAGAATGTGATATTTTGTTGTGAGAATGAGGTCTATTGAGCATAGATCTGTTAAAAAGTTCAGAAAAACATGTATAAATGAGTATTCATGCATTTAAACACTTGGGTGTGCTAGAAATGCCCATTTTCCTAACACCTCAGGGTTTGTCAACCATGGGAAAATATTGATATATAATTACAGTTTTTCTCGATTGCTAACACAAGTTTTTTTTTTAATGAATCAGTTTCTCAGAACACTAAACACAATTCACAAAACCACACACCCAAAGTGCAAAACTCCTAATTTCTCCTGCTAAATGAAGAACTGCCCTCAAAACTATAAACACTTACCAAATGCAAACTTTTGCACCAAATATAACTTCATTCATAATACTAGATGGTTTGACCACCCAGCTACACACTGCTGAGCATACTCTAAAGCACTTTCACCTGTAATGGGCTATGCTCTGTACAGAGAGGTTTCTGCAGAGAAAGATTTGCTTGAGTTTACAGAAATACAGTAAATGAAGAAATACAAATGAGTTGTTGAAACAAATCACATTTTATTCAAAGATAACTTTGTGCAACATCTCAGCACATAGCTACTATGCTTCGGATCTCTCTAAGTGTGATGGCATTGTTTGCAAAACCCAGTTTGTAGCTGCTGCTTCCTGCCTCATTGAACATCCTTAGCCTTCCACCTCTTTGTTTCTCAGTCCTTCAGATAAACAACAAAGACATAGTGGTCGGTCAGTGTCTGTGTCGCATAAAAGTAAGTTCACCACAGTACATTGTGCAGGATTGTTGTAGTTATAGTATACAACATGCCAATAATTCAATTACAGTAATGAAGTACATACGTTTCACACAACAGATATAAGCTCTGATATATCATGAGTTATGCAGAGCTGAAACTAACTAACCTGTTTTCAAGTCTAAGTGTCCGGATTACAGAGGCGACAGTAAATCAGCTTAGATTAGGCCGAACCCTGTGTCCGGCCTCTCTCATCGTCAAACCATGGTTGATAACATTTAATTTCATTAGAGAGTACTCTTCCTCCTCCTCTCTTCTTCCTCTTGCTTCCATGTTGGCTTCCATTGTTGCTGTAAGAAAGTACTCACCTGTGGTCTTTTTATAGTGCTAACATCCTGATTGATGCGCCAACAATTATGCTATCAGGTGTTTGGTCAGGTGGAACGTGCTTCTTGATCATTGGTCCATGTGTGAGGCATTTTGAATATCAGTGTTTGTTCTGACACCATAGTGTATTGGCACCCCCTAGTGGCAAAATTCGGTACTGTAGCTTTAAGGCACCAGATAGCGCGACTCTCGTGTGTCCACACAGCAGCTTTGACCAAATCTTGAAAATCCTGGAGCTGGGCGTGTCTGACAGCTTGGGGATTTCGCGACCAACAACCAATCACATGAATATCACATGAATATCCCGCCCCCCGACATACAAAGCAAAAAAACCCGGTTCTTCTACACTATTGTCAAATAGGAAGGGCTATGATGAACATTTATTTTTTTTAACATTTTGAACATTTATGAGATTAATGTTTATGGTGCTATTTTATGCTACATTCCATGCTGGCTAATGATACTGTCTATGCTTGCTAGCAACGAAGTAAACTAGCAACGAAGTAAACTGGATATAAAATCCCCAAACAAGCGAAAACCTACCAGTTTCACCCACTGTCTCTGCCACCTCCCTCCATGCCTGGTTCCTCCGGTTTGTATCCCGGTAAGTAAATAGGGACTGGTCATAAAGAACCGGGTGATTTGCTACCGCAATAACTAACTTCTCCTCCATTTTTGTGGAATATAGAAATGAACTGCGGGTCTGGTTCTCCCAGCTTGCACGCGGTTTGATTGGCTAGCGCTTGAACTGTCAGATTTGCATAAACGGATCTGATTGGCTGTCGCTTCCAGCTCAGCCTCAGAAGTTGAACATTGTTCAACTTTGGAATCCTGAACATCCTGAAAATCCTGAATATCCTGGAAATCTTCGCCTCGCCCCCCCACAATGCAGTTCAGCGACAAGCGAGGGAAAGTGACGTCATCCCCATTCAAAGTCAATGGGCGGAGACGCGCTGGAAGCGGTGGACAAATCGCCAAAAGCTGCTGTGTGTACGGGCCGTACCAGCAAAGCCATGCAGAGCACATCGTAGCTCAGTTCTATGCCACAGATCATTTTGTTTTAATCCTTGGAGTAGATCTGTCTGTAAGTATACAAACTTACCTGTGTGCCAAGTTATGTTTTAAAAATGTGGTTTAATTGATTGTGTGGTTTCAATGTGTAAGATAAGCTGAGCTAACTAGCTGCTAAGCTAATGGACATAGCTCATTCTTAGCATTGGCTGTTGATTATACTGCACTCTATTTGCATTATGTTGCACATGTATTATTTCAATTGTGTAACTTGTGTTGTATTTTTCTGTTTATTCTTGCAGTTTTACAATTTCAAGCCTCAGTAAATGGTCAACTCAACAACTGTCTTCTGAGTCTTTGTTCGCTATCTGTGAATAGTAAAAAGACACTACTCAGCTGGAAAGGCAGCGAAATAATTCTGTGATCAGCACGCTACTACTTCAACCTAAAGACTCATTCATCAGATAGCCGTAAGATGAATGACCAGGAAGAAGAACTCCGGTCTGTGGAGACCAGGTCCCGGGCCTCAAGTCACAGGTCATCAACAAGGTCAAGCAAGTCATCTGCCAGTGCTGCAGCGACAAGGGCAAGAGCTAAAGCCGAAGCAGCAAAAATAAAGGTATCCTTCACAGAAAGGGAGGCAGCCATGATGAGGCAGAAAGCAGAGGTGGAGGCAAACCTTTATGTTTTGAAGCTGGAAAGTAAAGCTGTGGCCGCATCTAAAGAGGCAGCCATATTTGAAGCAGCTGCAGCAGATTTGGAAGAAGGACATCTTGGTGAGTTACAGGATTTAGCTAAGGAGGATCCAGCAAGACGCACAACAGAATACATTGATAAACATTCATTTTTACAAAACACTCACCAACAGTTTCAAAACGTGGAAACACAGAAACTCACTTCTCACAATAACAGACAGCAGGGCATACATTGGCCACACAAGGGTGCAGATGAGCACAAACCCACTGAGGACCGACACTATGCATCGCTTCCTGTCTCTCCAGCATTCGTTCCAAATAACTACTCGGCTCCAACTCCTCATACTCCTGATCTTGCTTAGTATCTCGTGAGAAAAGAGATGGTGAGTTCTGGGCTCCTTGCCTTTGATGATCGTCCAGAAAATTACTGGGCATGGAAATCATCATTCCAAGCAGTTACAAGGGAGCTGTATCTGTCTGACCACGAAGAGCTCAACCTCCTTGTCAAATGGCTTGGACCGGAGTCAGCAGCACATGCAAAGCGGATAAGGTCAGTGCACGTTCATAACCCCACAGCAGGTGTCAGTATGATATGGCGGCGCTTAGAGGAATGTTATGGATGCCCAGAGGTGATTGAAAATGCCCTTCTAAAACGAATAGAGACATTTCCAACCACCTCAAACAAAGACATCCACCAGCTCAGAGAGCTAGGTGACTTGCTACTGGAGATAGATGCCGCTAAATCTGGTAGATTCCTGCCTGGCCTAGCATATTTGGACACTGCAAGAGGTGTTAATCCAATAGTGGAAAAGCTTCCTTACAGTCTACGAGAGCGCTGGGTAACGCAAGGTTCCAGGTATAAGGAAGATTATCTTGTGCCTTTCCCACCTTTCAGCTTCTTTGTGAAATGTGTATGTGCCCAGGCAAAGATCAGAAATGATCCAAGTTTTGCATTCAGTCTCTCCTCTTCCCAAAGTGACATTAGAGTGGATAGAACACCTAAATACACTCCGAGAACAGCTGTTTCAGTTAGGAAAACTGAAGTGACTGCTTCTGCCTCACAGTCTAGCTCAGCTATCAAGACAGAGGAACCAGACAAACAATGCCCAGTGCATAACAAGCCTCATTCACTGTCAAAATGCCGTTGGTTTCGAGGAAGACACCTTGATGAGAGAATAACCTATTTAAAGGAGAAATCCCTCTGCTTTCGATGTTGTGAATCCACAAAGCATATTGCCAAAGATTGCGAGGCAACACTTAAATGCAAGGAGTGTGAAAGTGACAAACATACCTCAGCCATGCATCCTGGTCCAGCTCCTTGGTCGTTTGGTATGTTTAGACCTGAGAATGAGCAAAGCGGAGAGTCTGGAGGACAAAGGCCACCTGAAGTAACTTCCATGTGTACAGAAATCTGCTGTGGTGCTCCCAAGCCCAGATCATGCTCGAAAATCTGCTTGGTGAATGTATACCAGGCTGATTATCCCAACAAGTCACACAGAGTGTATGCAGTGCTGGATGATCAAAGTAATCGGTCGTTAGCAAAATCACAATTCTTCGATCTGTTTGGCTTGAATGGCAATGCATCTCCCTATACTCTAACAACATGCTCAGGCAAAGTGGAGACAGCAGGAAGAAAAACATGCAACATTATAGTGGAGTCACTTGATGGGAAAACTAAAGCAGCACTCCCTCCTCTGTTGGAATGTAAAAACTTGCCTGACGACAGGTCAGAGATTCCTACTCCGGAGATCACACAGTATTTTCCACACCTCAGGCAAGTGACTGACAAGATTCCTCCCCTCGACACCAATGCTCCTATTCTCCTTCTGCTCGGAAGAGACATTCTGCGTAAGGTGCGTGAACAGTGTAACGGGCCTCACAACTCACACTACGCCCAGCGCCTTGACCTTGGCTGGGTCATAGTTGGAGAAATATGCCTGGATGGGACTCACAATTCAAACAATGTCAACGTCTACAAGACCCATGTCATTCAAAATGGACGCCCATCCTTTCTTAAGCCGTGCACGAACAGCATTCAGGTGAAGGAGAGGTTAAATGGTCCAGCCAAGCATCATCTTCCAGCCCCATCTCACAGCCTAGAAAACGTCCTTAATGGAAGTTTAGATTGTATAGGAGAAAGTGTGTTTCGAAAAACACCTGATGACGACAAACCAGCCCTGTCTGTGGATGACAAGATCTTTCTCAGAATCATGGAAAACGAGGTGTATATGGATGATGAAAACCACTGGGTGGCACCACTGCCCTTTCACTTCCCCCGCAAGCCCCTTCTTAATAACAGGGAACATGCCTTGCAGTGTCTCTCCTCTCTCCAGCGCTCATTCAGAAGGAGACCAGACATGAAAGAGCATTTCTTTGACTTCATGCAGAAGGTCATTGACAACCACCAAGCCGAGCCAGCTCCACAACTGCAGCATGGACAAGAGTGCTGGTATTTGCCTACATTCCGTATTTACCACCCGCAAAAACCAGGGAAAATAAGAGTAGTTTTTGATTCCAGCTCTCAGTACAAAGGAGTGTCATTGAACGACGTTCTCCTCAGTGGACCCAACCTCAACAACACTCTAATTGGGGTCCTACTGAGATTCAGAAGGGAGCAAATAGCCGTCACAGCTGACGTAGAACAGATGTTCTATTGTTTCAAGGTCAGACAGGACCATCGCAACTTCCTGCGGTTTTTGTGGCACAGAGACAACGACCCAGATAAGGAGATTGTTGACTACTGGATGACAGTGCACGTGTTTGGGAACAGTCCATCACCAGCAGTAGCAACATACGGGCTGAGAAAGGCTGCAGAGCAAGGGGAAACTGAACATGGCACAGACTCAAAGGAGTTTGTATTCAGGAACTTTTATGTCGATGATGGACTAATTTCAGTGTCAAAAGAAGATGAAGCCATTGATCTGCTACAGCGAACCAAGAGCCTACTGGCTGAGTCCAATTTGAGGCTTCGCAAAATAGCTTCAAACAGTGCCAGGGTCATGGAGGCCTTTCCTCTTGAAGAACGAACAAGCGACTTTAAAGATCTGGATTTGGGAGCCGACCCTTTGCCTCTCCAACGGAGTCTGGGCATAAGCTGGGAACTCAATAATGACAGTTTCACCTTTAAAGTTTCACAGGACATTAAACCGTTCACTCGTCGAAGCATACTGTCCACTGTGAACAGTCTCTTTGATCCCCTGGGATTTGCATCTCCCATCACTGTGCAAGGCAAGGCGTTGGTAAGAGAACTTTCTTCAGAGCAGTACGAGTGGGACGTCCCACTCCCACCAGTGAAGGAAGCTCAGTGGAAAGCTTGGACTGACTCCTTAACTGAGCTGGAACAGATTCAAGTACCAAGACCATATACCCCGGTCCCGGTCATCTTGCAAACGAACAGAACTTTGTGTTTTCTCAGACGCTTCTACAAGGGCAATTGCTGCCGTAGCATACCTACGTGTTCTTGACCCTTATGGGAAATGGCATGTAGGCTTTGTGATGGGCAAATCAAAGCTAGCTCCTTACCCATTGCACACCATACCTCGCCTGGAGCTGTGTGGGGCAGTCTTGGCGGTTGAACTGGCAGAACTAATTAAGTCTGAAATTGACTTGGAGTTGAAGGCAGTCAGGTTCTTCACGGACAGTCGCGTTGTTCTTGGCTACATCTACAACAATTCAAGGCGGTTCTACACCTACGTAGCTAACAGAGTAGCTCGCATAAGGAACAGTACTAACCCAGAACAGTGGCTCTATGTGAAAACTGAAGTAAACCCTGCAGACCACGGAACAAGGCCAATACCAGCAGCTTGTCTGATGTCATCCAGTTGGTTCTTTGGCCCTCAATTTCTCCATCAGATAGACACAGAGCAAGAAAATAAGACTGAATCATTTGAACTTGTGCAACCAGAGACTGATAAAGAAATGTATCCTCAAGTTCTCTCTCTTGCAACCAAGGTCACAGAGCAGAGTCTCGGATCACAACGGTTCAAACATTTCTCTACTTGGAAGGCTCTAGTAAGAGGTATGGCAACACTCATTCATGTAGCCAAGTCCTATTCCAGCAAGTTTCACACTGTAGAGTGCAATGGATGGCATCACTGCAAACAGTCACACACCTCAGAGCTCTCTCAGGCCAAAACAATCATCTTGAAGGCAGTGCAGCAGGATGTTTACAAGAACGAGGTGGACTGCGCAACTCAGGGCATTAATGTTCATAACCACAGCTCTCTTGTGAAACTGGACCCATTTCTTGACAAGGATGGATTGCTGAGAGTTGGGGGTCGCATCCATAAAGCCCAATTGGAAGACCAAGAGAAACATCCACTCATCCTGCCAGCCAGCCATCATGTTGCCACTCTCTTAGTCCAACACTATCATGATCAAGCAGCTCACCAAGGTCGCCATTTAACAGAGGGCGCACTGCCGGTGTCTGGATAGTAGGAGGGAAGAGGCTCATTTCGAGTACAATATTCAAATGTGTCATCTGCAGGAAGTTGAGAGGCAAGTTTGAGGTTCAGAAAATGTCCAATCTGCCTGCTGACAGACTGTCCATGGATCCACCTTTTACACATGTAGGGCTTGATGTCTTTGGTCCACGGAGTGTGATAACTCGTCGCACAAGAGGTGGTGCTGCTGAGAGTAAAATATGGGCAGTCATTTTCACATGTCTCAGTACGAGAGCTGTTTACTTGGAGGTTATTGAAACCATGACCACCTCAAGTTTCATTAATGCCTTGAGGCGCTTCCTGTCGATTCGTGGACCTGTCAAACACCTCAGGTCAGACAGAGGCACAAACTTTATTGGAGCATGCAGAGAGCTTCAGATAAACACAGACGATCCTGAGATCAAGGACTATCTGCAAGACCATGGTTGTACATGGATATTTAACGCACCTCATTCCTCACATATGGGTGGAGCTTGGGAGAGGATGATTGGTGTGGCTCAACGGGTCCTTGATGCACTGCTGTTGAAGAATAAGGATAAACTGACCCATGAATTCCTGGCCACTTTGATAGCTGAAGTTATGGCCATCATGAACGCCAGGCCTCTGGTTCCCATCTCTTATGATACAGACCTTCCTGAGATACTCTCACCTGCTACTCTTCTAACCCAGAAGGCAAGTGTGACACCCACACCCCCGGGGGACTTTGAACTGGATCACCTATGTAAGGTACAGTGGCGCCAGGTTCAAAGCTTGGCGAACTCCTTCTGGAAACAGTGGAAGCAGGAGTATCTGGCAACTCTTCAGCCTCGGAGGAAGTGGACCGAGGAGCGGCCTAATCTCCAGGACGGTGACGTTGTTTTGTTAAAGGACGTTCAAGCACAACGTAATGACTGGCCTCTTGGTCTGATAGTAAAGGCCATTCCAAGTTCGGACGGCAAGGCGCGAAAGGTCATGGTGAAGACCTTAGGTCAAGGGACAGCTAAAGAGTACCTTAGGCCCATCAGCGATGTGGTGTTACTGATACCAAGGGTAAAGAGATGTAAATAGTGGTAAAAAGGTTTACCAAGCGGGGAATGTTCTGACACCATAGTGTATTGGCACCCCTTAGTGGCAAAATGCGGTACTGTAGCTTTAAGGCACCAGATAGCGCGACTCTCCTTCTTGTGTTTTAGTTTACACAGCAAAGCCATCGTAGCTCAGTTCTATGCCACAGATCATTTTGTTTTAATCCTTGGAGTAGATCTGTCTGTAAATATACAAACTTACCTGTGTGCCAAGTTATGTTTAAAAAATGTGGTTTAATTGATTGTGTGGTTTCAATGTGTAAGATAAGCTAAGCTAACTAGCTGCTAAGCTAACGGACAAAGCTCATTCTTAGCATAGGCTGTTGATTATACTGCACTCCAGTGGCGGCTGGTGGAAAATATTTTTGGTGGGGCTGTTGATATAGTGAGTAAAACATTTTGGGGAGAAATGACCCCTTAAATTAGGACTTCTGGTGATGTAATGGCGCGTTTCCAGTGCAGCGCGGAGCTCGCTTTAATGCTGCGTTCAGACCGGACGCGATGCGAATATTAGCTTCGCTCTAAACGCTCCTATCGCATCGCTCTAGTCGCTCGAGTTTCACCGCGGCTGCCAGCTGTGTTTACTCGCATCATTCAAACAAGACGCGCTGGCTCGGGAGCTACAACTACAACAAAATGAATATATTTTACGGTGATTAAATTGTAATACACGTTTCAAAATGATGCCGACGTAACAACATACTGATACCGGTTAGTAAAAACCATGAATTAATGCTTTGACAAGTCTGCAGATAGACGGCAGGCGAAAAACAACGGCCTATACAGACATAAATAAACCAGCGACTGTATTCTCCATGACACAGACAGTCTGTGGTTTGTAGCCTACTTGTTTAACTTTTGTCTAGTTTCTGAACAGATCGGATCTGTCCCCGGCTGTTTGAAGAGCAAGCATGGGAAACAAAAGATAGCATTTACCTGTTTGCATCGTTTGCATCCAGCTAGCCTCGTTGATACGTTTTGTCTTTTTCACGAGCTTGCTGTGATATATACAAATCGGGTTGGTCCGGTCCAAGGTCTTTAAGTATCAATGTATCTCCCAAACTTCTCCTTTCGAAAGGATTGGAGAGTAGCTCTTGCACGGAATTGGGTGCGGACCGAGGTCCGGCGACTCCACCTGCACACCATTCTCATCCAAATACTGCATCACCTTGGTCACTCACGAGTCTAAAAAACAACTCACGTCAACGCACGTAAGCAACGTGGGCGCCAACGTGAGCGCCCTCGTGACCAAAATATTTGACTGCGCTGATTGGCTGAAATTATGTTTCGGCGGCACAGTTTACTATTGAGACTTTTGCAACGTGCTGGTTGCTGCTGTTTGGCTCGGGGGCTCCGCCCGGTAATGATAAACTAATGCCATGGGCAAGGCCAGGCAGGAAAACATGTGACTTATCAGTAACTTTAGACATCGTAACACCATTTTAAACGAGATTTTATTGTAGATTATACACTTTACTGATACCAATTGTATGATATTTACCTTGTTCATTAAAAATAAAAATATAAAATATATATATTTTTTTAATATATTTTTTTTAATTTAATTTTTTTTTTTAGATATATTTTTGTATGTGGGAAGAGGTGGGGCGGTGCCCCTAGCGCCCCTATGGGCCGGCCGCCACTGCTGCACTCTATTTGCATTATGTTGCACATGTATTATTTCAATTGTGTAACTTGTGTTGTATTTTTCTGTTTATTCTTGTAGTTTTACAATTTCAAGCCTCAGTAAATGGTCAACTCAACAACTGTCTTCTGAGTCTTTGTTCGCTATCTGTTAAGCCATGCAGTGAGATGCATACGCAAGGGCAGAATAGTGTTTTAAACCTGCTAACACGTGACTTTATGTCAGATTCCTGTGTAGAAACGTGTAGAAACGTGTGCAGTGGTTTGCAAAAACTGCCATGTTGATGTGCAAATTGTGTGAAAAGCTGAAAACGTGTTTAGAGTTTTGGAGATTTGAGCCGATGTTTTGCTCTTTGAGTGTCAGTTAAAAATAATTGTGCTTTATGTATAATTTTAGTGTGTTAGCAATCGAGAAAAACTGTAAGATGCATGATTGAGCAATGACACTAGACTGAGAGAAGTGCTGAAACATGTCCTGTGTGTGTGTGTGTGTGTGTGTGTGTGTGTGTGTGTGTGTGTGTGTGTGTGTGTGTGTGTGTGTGTGTGTGTGTGTGTGTGTGTGTGTGTGTGTGTGTGTGTGTGTGTGTGTGTGTGTGTGTGTGTGTGTGTGTGTGTGTGTTCTCACCACAGTCTGAACACACACGTTTCATCACTCTGTAAAGCTACTGCGTTGGCTCAATATAGGAGATACCTAAGTTTCATCATTTATTTAATCCGATATTTATTTGTATTTGTGCATGTGATGCTGATTTTTTTTTAATATCTCTAAGTATACGTACTAGGGCTGTCAAGTTAACGCGTTAATAACGCGTTAACGCAAAAAAAATTAACGCCACTAATTATTTTAACGCATGTGCATTTTTTGTCCTCGGCCACCCCGTAGTTTCAGAGCGCATCGAGTTTAAAATACCATCTACAAGCTGATGCTGACAGCACCGCTCCTGCCACCCGCTTGCTGCAGACCACACTTCCACGCTCACCGGCAGGCCCTGACTGGCCATCGGGAGAGACCTTACGTGTAATGTTGTTGTTAGCATCTGGTGCTAGCTAGCTGCGCTAACGGATATAAGGAGCTGTTTCAATGAAAACAGAGGAGTGACATTTCGCCGACAACTGCGCCGAGCACTTGACTTTATGCAGGAAGCCAGACAGTGGGACATTGTACGAAAAGTCAGCACACTCAGCTCGGATAGTGAGCGCAACATGATCGCAGCGTCCAGGCAGCTCCCGTTCGAGCATATGCCTTGAGTTGCATAGCTCCAACGATTCATCACACACACACACACACACACACACACACACACACACACACACACACACACACACACACACACACACACACACACACACACACACACACACACACACACACACACACACACACACACACACACACACACACACACACACACACACTTACTTTGTATTGTATTATTGTATGAGAGGTTCCAGGTTGAATTGAGGCGAATATTTGTAATGTTCAGAGGTTGTTGTGTTTAATATTCATGAGAATTGTTGTCATTGTTCAAATGATAATAAACATTTGCATAAAGCATATTTGTCCACTCATATGTTGATAAGAGTATTAAAAACTTGAAAAATATCCCTCTAAGGTACATTTAGAACAGATAAAAAATGTGCGATTAATTTGCGATTAACTATGGACAATCATGCGATTAATCGCGATTAAATATTTTAATCGACTGACAGCCCTAATACGTAGCCTACACTTTAAATCACCTGGCTGCACAAAATGAATGGTTGATTTACTTCTGTCTAGCAGTTCAATGCATGCAATAAAACGGTCAGGCCGGTAACTGTCGCAGAGTTGGTGCAAAATTATGATTTATGAGTGTGAAGGATCTAAATTGATGAGATTTTGGATTAATTCCAATTTTGTGCAACGAGATTATTAAACACCTTTTTACTGGACAGAAAGTGCTTCCATCTACTCTGTTTAATGCAAATACAAAGACATGAGTGAAAATGATAGATGACACTAGTCAGAGAAAAATCTAAAAAAGATTGCAATACTTTTTTTGTTTTGCTTGGTTGAGGTAGAAAATCTGGTGGAAAAAAAATAAAAAAGGGTTCATTAAAACTCACTTGAAGAAATGATGCCATACATGAAGCATTTGACTTCAACACTGAAGCTCCTACTTTGTTACGCTTATTAAACTGTTCGCTCAGCTTGTATACACTAACTTTATATTCACATTTTTATTATTTCTCTCTACTCATGAAGTTACTTTATACTACAGACAACATCCTGCTTCAGACCACTTATCTGTTGTTTCATCTGCTCATTTGTGTGAGTGTGGCTTAAGCATTTGCATACTTGATATTCAAATGATTCCCAGGAATAGAGGTAAAACAACCCGTCAATAACATCACAGAATGTTTGCCAGTGTTGTCAACTTTGGACATATGAATCAAACTCGTATGAGCCATGTACAAGTGTATATACAGTATGTACAGCTTAACACTTTGTGAGCAATGTTTAAGAATAGCTTATTCCTAACTCAACATGTTAATGCTGCACTGTTGACATGTTGATACAGAATAATTGAAAAACATATGTTTAGGTTTTTTGGGGGGGGTTAGGTTTAGTCCACATACAGAATAATTGATATTGCACTGAAAAACTGAAACGTTGACAAGAAAAACAAAGATTAAAAGACACAATTAAAAGGAGATGACGCTAATACACTGAAAAAACTGAAACGATTACTTTAATTAAATGTATTATGTCAACAAATTTCACGTAACTGTATTAGGTTAGTTGAAAGTAATAAGATTAAGTTGAACCTAATCTTTTTTATTTAAACTTAATATTGTTGCTTTCAACTAACCTAATACTGTTATATCTAATTTGTTGACTTAATACATATAAATAAAGTCAACGGTTCAGTTTTCTCAGTGTAGAACTATAAAATAAATAAAAACCTAAATAAAACAGTATGATAATAAGAATAATAAAGATTAAAAGATCAATTCAAAGTGGGGTGTTGCTAATAAAAAGCTAATCTGTTGTGTGTGTGTTCCTATCCACAGATGGAAGTCTACACAGTGAAAGTAGCAACTGGTACATCAGAGTATTCAGGCACCAACAACTACATCTATGTGACCCTGGTGGGGGAGAATGGAGAGAGTGAACGCACCGTGCTGGACAACCCCGGACTGGATTTCTGCCGAGGAGCGGTGAGTGTCTGCAGACCACCGATCACTGAGTGTGCTGATTAAACATTTAAACATCGATCGCAGGTATAATTGAACTTTTTGTCTACTCAACCCCTTCCTCTCCAGGTGGATGAGTACAAGGTGACCTGCCCCTCACCTCTCGGCCCCCTGCTGCTGGTCAGGCTGGAGAAGCAGAGGTACTGGTTGGAGGACAACTGGTTCTGTCGCTACGTCACAGTGGAGCCTCCAGGTGGAGACACAGTGCTGACGTTCCCCTGCTACCGCTGGTTCATCGGAGACACCAAGGTGGAGATAAGGGAGGCCACAGGTAGGACTCAGAATCCACTTCTAATATTCAGCTGTCAAGGAACCGTTGAGCAAAGCTGCCAACTCCGAACTGACAGTTGCTCTTACATTGCAATGAGATTAAGCACATGTCTCTTTATAGCCAGTGCCATGCAAATTCTGCTGTGTGGACTGATTATTCCATCATCTGGTTTACAATATATGTCCTGACCTGCAATAAACCAGCCATAATATAAACCATATACTGTATATATAGTGCAAGCAAACACGTATTACTGATATTCATTTTGGAAAAAGAGTGCAACAAAGTTTTGTGGTGTCCAATAAACCATAGTTAAGGTTATGTATAGAAGAAGTGGACATATTCACATGATGTCACCCATTGATTTTTGGAATACTTTTTAGGAGCCTTAAGTTAAATGTTGTCATTTTTGAAAACAGGACTGACATGACAGGAAGGATAGTAGGTAGGGATGCTCCGATCGCCAATTTCGGGGCCGATTGCCGGAATCAGTATCGGCCGATACCGATCGCCAATCCGATCGAGTGGGCGGGGCCTAAATGCAAGATTTAAACATCACTTTAAATCTTCCATTTAAAGTGATGTTTAAACTCAGTTAATGGGCTCATTCACTGGAGCTTCCACAAACAACAATCAACTTAATTATTACATTCAAATGATGTACATTATTCAAGTTTACATTCACTTTGGAGAATAACACGGGAGAAATGAGCGGAAGCGCTCTCTCCCCCTCTCTCTCTCTCTCCTGACAGCCTGTCAGTATCTCATGCAGCTCACTGATCTAGTAATGAGTGACCCAACAGTGAAGAATAAATATATTTATAATAACTAGTTTAGCTTGTTCCAGAGGTAGATAAAATAGCTAAGTGTGTTAGGTCTAACTCTTGTGTGTTTCGTCCCGCTTACCGGTCCGGCGGGCAGAGCTGCAGGATTTCTGCTTCACACACACGTTGCATACTGCTATTTTACTGTCTTTTTCGGACACCTTAAAATAATGCCAGACCGGTGAAGCCATTTTGGCGAGCTTGTTTTGCCGCACACAGAGAAAAGTGTCATGTATTTTACGTCATGCGATCGGCTCTCGCGATCGGCATGTTTAGAGAGCACCGATCGATCGGTAAAGAGTGAGTATCGGCTGATATCGATCGGTGACCGATCGATCGGAGCATCCCTAATAGTAGGCTACAAGTGAATGCTGAACAAGATATTTTGAGGCGACAATGTTACAGTTTACTCTCATTAATTAATAAACTGTAAAGGGATAATGTTGCAAGATAAAAACCTACGGACAACTCCGTGGTAGCAACTCGCCCTAAAGCATACCCTGATTAATCACCTATTTTACTGTAACCATCATTTACAAAATCAAAGTCTTGGTGTGTTGAAGAAGACTTCAAATTAATGAAAGAGACCATAAACTTACTGAGAAAATGTTTAAAGGTCCCCTATCATGCAAAATGAACTTTCTGATGTCTTTTATACATCAATATGTGTCCCCGGTGTTACGCTCTCCGAGAGCTTACAGGTGTGAACCATAGACTGTATATATAAATGGACGTAGGGTCCGTGACATCACCCATAGGATTCTGCAGAGTTGCCGAGAAGCCCTTAGTAGGCGGAGTCGGCCACTAACGGCTCGACAGTGACGTCAGAGTTCAACTCCCGCCTGCTCCAAATAAGGGCAAAGAGGCGGAGCCGAGGCGGGACCTGCTGCCACCGAGCTGGAAGTTCCAGAGCTAGCTGAAGCTACCAAGCTAAGCTAACATGCTCCCCATCTGCACACTGCCGTCGCATTTTACGTTTCTAAGGTAAGCGGACATGAAACTATTCAGCAAAACTATAAATAATAATCTAAGTTATTGAGTTTTTAGCATAATACTTCAGAATCTTAAAACCCCTTAATGTTTGTATGCAATTGTGCTAAATGTTTGCATGACATTAGTTATTTGTATTTTGATATCACTTAACTATACGTTTAATACATTTAAGTCAAGCTAAGGTACATGTGATGGTAGCTAGTTAGTGCTCTTACCTGTGAGGCCTCCTTCAAACAGCATAATAACTAGACTATCATTACAACTAAGTACCAGTTCTAGATCCTTGACTTTAGACAAACAATTCAAAAGACAACATGTATTTAAAGACCAATCTTTATTTGAATGTGCCTCTTAACCTGATATATTAGTTATACAGTAATAGTATTGACAATCTAAAAAAACTGAGCAACTCAACAGTCATCTTCATGTTTCTTATTGTCTAAAGCATTTATTATTTTCATTTTCCCCCTCTCATATTCAGTGTGGACGGATTGAGACAGCATGGTGTCCAGAGAGCTGCAGAGACTTCAGGGAGAAACCTCCGTGTGATGGATGTCCAGTCTGTTAGTTTGGAGAGGACTGAGGGTCTTTCCTCAGCGAGGAGGACCAGGCCTGATGGAGGAGCCCATGCTGGGCATAGCTGATACCAACTGCACAGGCCTAGTCTGTCACTTTATTTGACTAAATGTGTTTACTTATACATTTAATAGGTTTACACCTTCTGTCCATATGTGCTTTTTATTTAAAACATTTGATTAACTTTTGGTTCACATTTCAATAAATTGTATTTGTACTCCTTTTGTCCATTATTCTTACTGAAAATGTTAGATTACACATTCACATCTGACTGAAGATTGGCCCCATTTATTTGTGACGTTGCAAACTCTGCAGTACAAGGCACAAGTGATGTGAAGCTCATAAAGTGAGGCAAATAGAAATAATCAGCTGATGGAGTGTAGATGTGGAAATAGCTGCATTCGATCAGCTGACTGTTTTTACAATAAAAGTAGTTTCTTAGTGTACTGGTCTTAAAATCTCATAACATCAGCTTTTAATGTTCCTCTTGGATGTTCTTCTTGACCCTCAGAGAAGGAGAAAATGTCGTGTCTTTCAGGCATGTCCTTTCCTAACAAAAATTACAGGAAACATAAAACATATTATTGCAGAACAAGTGTGTTATTTATGAAAGCGGTGTGTTTGTGTGTTTAGGGGCTGTAGATATAATTATTTTGTAATAGTAATGTTTTTTTTTTATTCCAACAGTGAGCTACGAAGACAATCAGATTATGAATGAACAGTATGAAGTTCATCAACATTGAAATTTATGTTATTATCAAAATAATATTGAACTGTTACAAAACGTAGTGCAACTGTAGAAGCTTGCTCTGTTGTCTCACTGAAAGAATAACTTTTACCACGTTTTTTACAGACAATATTGAGAGATAAATAGTAGCAGTTCTCACTATGTGTTAAATATCTTTGCCTTCAATACATTAAATTAGAAAGCTGACAAAATCATAGTGCTTGTTAACATCTAAATGTAACTTTTTGCCCTCAACTTAACTGATGTGTAGGTGATCTAGTATTTAGTATTGTTTAATGGAATGTATATCAGTGTATTCAAGTCAATACTTCATTTATTTAAACCAATATCTTTCTTGATTCTTTGTACAGTATGAAAAAAAGAGTCTTTGTACCTGTGCTGAAGATCACTGCTGTGAGGAGTCCAGTTATGTCTCTCACTCTCTGGTCCAGCCTGTCTGCATCACCTGGACACCTTAAACCAGGCATCCTCAAAGTCCGGACTCCGGTCCGGATCCGGACCGAACCACAACTGTCTCTGGACTCTGAGCAAATTATACTTTTCATATGTATTATCTGTATTATCTGTGTTATCTGCGAGACATCACCACAACGCAACGAGTCAAAATGATCCGCTATGCCCATTGTCCATAGACTGCAAACAGCGCTCTGCATGTCCTGTTCCACTGTCTGTGTGTGTCTGTCAACGCATTGGTCCAATCACATTCAGCATCCCGTCAGCGTTTTCCCCCCCCAAACAATCTGCGAATCAGAGGCACATTAGGGCGGGTCTTCGCGGAATGCGAGTGGGAAAAATGTGTGCCTCGTCTCTTTCAACCTGTCTGAGTCAGAGCGAGAGTTTAAAAAAAAAAAATTCAGAGCGAGAGTTAACAGCTCATCTAGTTCCATCTGTACTGTAGCTAGTAGCCTAGATTCACCTACTGGGGTGGCAACTGACACCCTAAAAATAGGCCTTGCCACCCCAGTTGGCAGCTTTGTTTTGAAAGAAAAGTTGTGGCTCATCGGACATTTATGAGAGAAAGTCTCTAATGTCCGAGTGCAAGTGAATGCAGCACAAGATGCACATCAGGTAACCCCTCCCCCGGTCCTGGCGCGAGCGTGGACATATGATTGGCGGCGATTTCATTTGGGGACGGTGCAATACGAGAAGCATTCGGACCCAAGCACTGAAGGAATGAGGTATTTGCGGTCACAGTGGTCTGTGCATCTGATCATCAGATCAAGGGGGGTGCTGGGGAACTCCAGTTCGAAACCCGCTCCTGCCGCCACTGCGTCAGGCCGTTGTGTCCTTGGGCAAGACACTTTACCCGGATTTGCTCCTGTGGGTAATGTCCACAGTACATGTATGATATCAATGTGTACTTGTAAAAGCGCCTCGATGACTTTGAGGCGTGAAGATGGACGGTGTGGCGCAGTGCGCTGTGCAATGATCATCAGATCAAGGGGTGAAACCCGCCGCTGCTGCGTCTGTAAAGCCGTTGTGTCCTTGGGCAAGACACTTCACCTGAACTTGCTCCTGTGGGTATTGTCCACAGTACATGACCATTGCATGTATGATATGTGTAATGTGTATTTGTAAAGCGCTTTGAGCATCTGGAAAAGCGCTATAATAAATGTAAGGAATTATTATTATTATTACACTGACAGAGAAGAGACTGTCAGTTTGGCTGTACTCAGCATTGAATCAAAACGCACTAAAGCTGTTGATCTTAATACGTTTGTGAGGCGTTTTGCTGAACAAAATGGTAATCGCCGCATTCAGCTGTAATAGACATGTCAACTTGATGCTCTGCTCATGGATGAGCATACACAACTATTAAGATGATGACCTTACGTGTGTAAATATATATTTTTCTTTGA